TCACATATGTCATTTCGTGTTCGAGTACATGAGGAACTAGTGATAAGTATTTGTGTTTACGCATAATGTATGATAACTAATTGATCCGGCATAATAGTGCTGGAAGTATATAAGACGGAATATATTTTCTGGTTCCGCATTTATTTTTGAAAAGATTATATAAATATATGTTTCTGTTGTGTGTAAAGAAACTATACATTGCATGTACTTTATTGTGATTTCATAATATTGCTTATTTAGATATATTATTCCAACCCTCTTATCACCCTCCAGATATTGAAGATATCGCTGCAGAGTGAGCGGTAATACAGAAGAAATCTCTGAAGCCTACACTTTGATATTAAGATTATTATTTCGTATTTTTATTTAGTAATGAAAGTAAGAAAATTTAGAATCTCGTACATATATTTATATTTTATATTTAAGGGATGCAATGCTTCTACGACTTTTTTATTATTAACAAAGTTAAATTATTTTACTTAACTCGAATTTATATGATTTAAAAAAATATGCTCCGGTCATTATTTTATAAGACGGAGTGTGGTACGTAATATTATAAAACATATGTTTCACTACTCAACAAGCTAGATTTATGTGGAGAAAAGTTTTAAATAAAAATTTAAAAAAGAGAGTATTAGTAACTTAAAATAAATTTTTTTAATATATAAAATATTTAAATAAGTAACTATTTTATATATTAATATTTTAATTTTATTTTATATTTAAGATAATATTTTAAAAAATAAAAAATTAATGTCTTAAATTTGAGTTTTATTTTTTATCTATATAATAGATAATAAATAATAATTAGATATAAAAGTTATCGCATATTTTAACGATATAAAAAATTATTTATTTGTTTTAATTTATTGTTTATTTATTTTTTCTTTGTTTCTATTATTACTTCATTGTTTAAAGTAGTAATAGAATTACTTATTCTTTATCTCTACGTGTATGTTTAAAGATTTTCAATTTGCTGCAACTCATAATTTTATAAAATTAACTATTTATACATGATTATGCCCTGTCAATAGATCTTAAGTGAGGAATACTATATAATGCTTTATTAAATGTTTTTTCAATTTAAATATCGTATGTTTATAAGGACGGTTTTATTCAGCTTTTACAAATATTTACTGATTTATACTGATGCTAAGTTTAAGTTTTATTTTATAATGTTAGTGTTTTTGATAATATGCTTAGTCTCAAGTGAGAGGCTGCTCTATCTTTTCCTCCATTTTATAGAAAAAAGTAAAAAAATCTTATTACAGGTTAAAACCCGAAAATGAATAATTCTAAGCACCATTTCTGCAAAAATTTAATTTTTTTAACCTCTTATCTACAATCCACAGAGGACAAATCCCTCGCTTGCCGAGAGACCAAGGACTGCATCAGAAAATGTTGAGCCTATCCATTGCGTCTCCGACGACAGTCGCTTTCCCTCCGAAATCTACGTCACCGATTCTCAAATCCTCCTTCAATGGCGTCAAAATCAAGCAAGTCTATCCCATACGTTCGGCATCTCAACCGACGTCGTCTCGAAGTTCCTCGGTGGTGATGATGGCGAAGAGAGAAGAAGAAATGAAGGAAATTATAGCCAAAACGACTGAAGAAATCAATGAAGAGGTAGTCGACCTTAAAGGTGAACTCTTCATGCTCCGCCTCCAAAAATCTGCTAGGAATGAGTTCAAGTCCAGCGAGTTCCGTCGCATGCGCAAGAGGGTACTCTTCTTTTCATCTTTATATTCATTTTTCATATCAGTTTTTATACATTTAATCAGTCATTAAGAAGAATTTCGAGTTGATACGATGTCCATTAAAGTTACGGATCATCTTCT